CTCCCTGAATTGACTATGACCTGCCGAAGGGCATCTGCCAGGCTCTCCCCTCCCTCCGTGAGTAACAGCTCAAAGTAGAGTGGTCAGAAGTTAAAGGAGAAAACTCCATGGACCAAAAATGTCCACAAAAAAGATTTTCTTCCCAGAGGCTGGTTTCAGATATGGAAATGTCCCTGAATGAGCAACCTCTGAGAAGAAAGACCGCTCTGAAATGGAACAGGGTCTATAAAATAGACTCATAAAAATCCTATGAGTGGTGGGTACATGGAAGCTTCTGTTTCTTCTTTGCTTTACTTTTCTGTACCTTTAAGTGCTTTCTATTTAAAATGATCATAAAGCCCTGGCTGGTTTGGCTCAGCAGTTAGAGCATCGGCCCACAGTCAAGGGCACATACCTCAGTTGCAGGTTCGACCTTGGCCCCAAGGGGACATTCGGGAGGCAACCAATGTATGGGTCTCTCTTACATTGATGTTTCTCTGTATATATATTTCATTCTCTCTCTCTTCCTCCCTCCCACTCTATCTAAAAATCAATGGAAAAATATCCTTGGGTGAGGATTAAAAAAAATTTTTTTTTAAATAACATAATCATAAATAGACCTCATTGTATTTAAAAGTCAGTGAATTGAGTAAGTCACTGTAACTTAGTTTATAACCTAAAAGTTTCCCTGTAGTTTAAACTACAAAAGTCATTCTTTACTTCCCAGCTTAATTGTATTTATCTGCTGAATATGGTACCCCTTGAAATTGTTAGTTCTTAGACTCTTTCACACAGTGCCAGGTTACATTGCACCTTCATTGTAAGGAACTCCTTGTGCAGGGCGTGTGGCCCTCGGAGGATGAAAAGTTCCACTCTTTAGCACATTTTTAAAAATCCTTCAGCCGATGGAAGAAAGAAAGATCTCTTACCCTTTGAGATGACATGGAGGGGCCTGGAGAGTATTATGTTAGGCAAAATAAGCCAGTCAGAGAAAGACAAGTATCACATGATCTCACTTATTTATGGAATATCATGAACAAAATAAGCTGTTGATCAAAATAGATCCAGAGACATGGAGGTAGGGAACAGACTAACAAATCTCAGAGGGAAGTGGATGGTGGGGAGGGGGGGGTGGGAAGAGATAAACCAAAGAACTTATATGCGTATATGCACAACCAATGGATACAGACAATAGTTTGGGAAAAGCAGGAGGGGTGTGGGAGCAGGGAGGAGGGGGTCAATGGAGGTAAAAGGAGAAGCATCTGTAATACTTTTAACAATAAAGATTAAAAAATAATGATAAAAATAAAAATCCTTCAGCTGATTTAATATTTTAATACTTTGGCAGAACAGAAAGTCATTTTTAGGAATCATCTCTGAACCAACGAGCCATGTAACTATTGCCAAGTACATACTAAGTTCTCAATAAATATTTTTTAAAATAAAATGCTATGCACTTCTGAACAAAAGACAACTTCAGTCATTTAAAACAGAATGCAACAAGTATAGTTTCCAGTTGCTGCTCTTTTATGTCCATTAGAAATCAGAAAAATGGGAAGTTGGGGGCGGGAATCAGACAGTTATGGAAACTGCATTGATGAGAGCAGATTGTAGTTTTGTTTAGAGTGATCTGATATACAATTAATTGAGGGTTTTATTGTCGTCCTGGATTAAAGCTGTGTTCTTACTATAATAGAAGATTGGCCCAGAGTCCTCTGATGCCAAACTCTAGCACTGCCTCTGTTCTTTCATCAGCAGCCCAGGCCCCCCTCTTTCAAACCCTTTGCGATGCAGTCCTGGCACAGACCCCCTAACCTCGAACTCCAGCCAACTTCCCTAACAATGCACTTTCTCCCTTCACCTGCCTGATGCTTCTTGTTCTCAGACATTACATCCTGAAATCAGGGCTTTCAGTGAGTTAAAAAGGGAAATACAGAATTACCTGGCTCTATCAGGGTTTTAAGTATTCTTGTAGACTGAAATGAGAGCTCTTGTACAAAACCACTTGAACTCTTTCTTAAGATATGCTAATTTTTTCTCTCTTTGATTGAACTGTTGACCTTCTGGATATATGACTAGTTATTACCTCAAGTATGTTTGGAACTATTCTCGCCCTAACTATTCAAAAAATGTAATTAGCATGAAGACATTATTGTAGAAGCATATCACCTTGGGCTAGGATCTCATTAGACAGCACAAATTGAGCAGAATTGAGCATGCTCCAGGGCTTTAAAAAAAATCTACGAGAGAAATCCAGTGCATTGGATGAAAAGTTAAAATTAACTCTTTCTCGAGCCCTCTCTTTTTCGTATATTTGATTTGTAAAAGAATCCAAAGAGAGGGTTGTGGTTCTTCTGTCTGAAAAATGAAAGCAACTCTCTTTCCTCAGAACTCTGCTTTTACGATGGGGCTGCTGTCACAGTTCTGGGTCAACCAAAACCAAAATAATACATTTTAGAGCTCTAGCTTTTTCTTACAAGAAATGCATAGCATTTTATCCTTGCAACAACTGATGTTATAGAGAATAAATATTCTCTAGGAGGTAGTTAACAAATGTGGGAAAACTGAGGCCCACAGAGGTGTAATCACTCATGAGTTATTCACACTCCTCCTTGAACATTGCCCATCTCTTCCACCGTGGAAGGAGTTCTTTATCTTCTGAATTGAAAACCATTTTATGCTGCCTGATCGATTATTTCAGTATGTACTCCTAAGTCTGGGACTAATCCCAACTGTTATGAAACCTTATATGAACAATAAAAAGGTCCTCATTCCTGGATTTCAGAGGTTACCATTTTTAGTTCATCCCACGGCACTTAGGATTTTCCCAGTTGGGCCCTAAATGATCAGAACTTTCAGTAGAGCACTTGCTTGATTCTATTATTCACCTCCTTTGTAAGTCTATAATGTGTTTTAGTGCATAGAGATGTGTCTTAGAAACAATCATTTCTCATTATTATAACAATATTTTTCCTTAATTGCACAAATATTTCTGACCTGAAAGTATTCTTGTCATGGCTGTGTGCACAAGCAGAGTCTTGTTTGTCTTTACAATATATTAGTAATGTATTAATTTGCTTTCCAGTGCTGCCCAACAAGGAACAGAAAGAATTTATCTAAATCATGAAATGCAAAACAAAGCTAACATTTTGTTAATTATATTTTAAGGGCAGTCAGCATTAGGTTGTGTAGCAAAATGTAGGCCTATTTTTGAGAGAAGATAACAGAAAACACTACTCAATTAACAAAACATTTGTTTAGCACCTACTGTGCACAAACTCTAAGAGGCAAAGGGGTGAAGACAAATAAAATTGGCTAATTTAGTTTTATAGTCATAGTTAAAAGGCAATAAAGGGTAGGGTAATATGTGTTTTGATTTATTGTCAAATTAGCTTACATATATCAGATGGAACCACATGAAACTAACAATGTCTGACAGTTTTTTACCAAAAGAAGTGGCGATTTCGTATGATTTGACCTAATATTAAGATACTCTTGTCCTGCTATACCAGCTCCTAAAACATTATACTGTTCATTTTCTTTTTATTTTTTAAATTAAATTATTAATTTCAAGTTGAAGCTACCATTATTAGACAATCCATAGAAGGTAAATACAGATCAGAAATTTGAGTCCTGTTTTTCATATTTATTTTTATAGACTCAAAAGTAATACATATTTTGTAGTTTTAAAGTTTATTATTATATCAGATGCTTTTGTTTATTTGACTTAGAGTCGTGAACCTGCTACCTGTTCTTCAAGTGTGATGTTCCCCAACTCGGTTTTTCATGCCATTTCCTTGGTGATCTTTATGCAAAACTGACATCTCTGTTCCCTTCTTTTCTGCAGAGATGTTTGATTGTATAACACTTCATTTATTTGGAAATACTTTTCTATAGGAGATTAAATCTAACATCCAGTCTTGCCAGTCAGGTTACTAAGAAATCAGAACAAGTTACCATATGTGTGTTCCACTAAATACATTCTTCTAGTTCTATCAACATTTAACAAATGTTTACCAGGCACCTGCTTTGTGCAAGCAGTGGAGTTGGTCCTCGGCCGAATGTGAAGTTGCATAAACAAAAATGTTTGCATTAATATAAATACAAATTTAGTGCTGACTGGATAGAGCAGGCACTGCTCTACACACTTGACATGCATCCATCTGTTTAATCCTAGCCAAGCAAGTCGATTCGATTGTTATATTCATTTAAATATGAGGAAAACTGAGGCCAGAGGGGTTAAATGAGCTTCTAGAACTCAAACACTTAACCAAGACACCAACAAGTTATCTGGTTATTGTGGGGGGACCTGATGTTAGAAAGCAAGTGCTGTCCTGGCTGGTTTTGCTCAGTGGTTAGAGCATCAGCCCATGGACCAGAGAGTCCCGGGTTCAGTTCCTGCTAAAGGCAGGTACCTCGGTTGCAGTTTGTCCCTGGCCCCAGTTGGGGTTGTGTGGGTGGCAACCAGTCGATGTGTCTCTCTCAAATCAATGTTTCTCTCTCTCTCTCTCTCTCTCTCTCTCTCTCCTCTCTCTCTCTCTCTCTCTCTCTCTCTTCCTCCTTCTCTCCCTCCCACTCTATCTGAAGATAAATGCAAAAATGTCCTTGGGTGAGGATAAAAAAAAAAAAAAGTGCTTTTCCCAGACCATGAACTACAAGTGTGACCAGTCAGCAATGCTTCCTAATGCCCTAAAAAATAAATATACTTGTGTATAATGTCAGAAAACACTTGAGCCTATCACATTGTGTTTACTCCCAGTTCAAGACACTAAGACATACCCCTGTGAGGTCCCAGCACTTACTGGCACATGCGCCATACACACTGACCAGTGCTTTCTTACAAAGTCACATCTTACCCCAAATCTTATCACAGCCCTGCTGAAGGCCAGGCACTATTAAGAAAATGTTCACTCATTTTCCGGTTATGCCCAATGTATGAACACTGATAACACATCTAAATTCGAAGAAAATCAAGAAACATCACCCCAGTCAACCTGAAAAGTCTAGTGACTCATTCACAGCCTTTTCACAGGGCTCCTGCTGGGCCACCTTGGCTCTCCTGAACGAGCCTCCAGGCCTCCTGCAGTCCAAGTGCAGCTCAGTGCTTGATCTCTCTCTGCTCCGATTGAAGATCGAAGATCGAAGATCGAAGATCGGGTGAGTGTTGACTTCCTTTTGCATAGGCATTTGAGTTGCTCAGCAAGCTACCCCTTGTCTATGCTTATAGTGACCCCACTGCTTACGTCCCTGAGGCAGGCTAACCAAGGTCGCCTTGGAAAAAACAACAGGGAAGAAGATGTTGACTTTTTAGCCTCCAAGAGTAAAATCACACTGAAGGTGAAATCATAATATCTAAATTTGACTGAGTTTATGTTGGGTCTCATAAATATATACACACATGTGGATGCTTAAACCATGTATGCTGTCTGCTGAAAACAAAATAAAACAACATACTGTCTCATTAGAAAGGTAAGAGCTGGTAGGCCAACTCACCAAGATAAACAAAAATGAGCACTCTAACTTCTACACACACACACACACACACACACACACACACACGCACACACATTGGTGCAGTGAAGTCCACATGACAGTTGCTCTGGTAATGAAATGCAATTAATGTTTTCAAAGATTTTCTTGTTAAATTTAAACTAGTGCCATGAACTTACTGTGCTTTCTTTCACGAGCTTAGCTTTAGGTTTCCATCCTCAGTCTGGCATCGATTTCAGCCTCTAATAAGGCAGTAAGCAGAGTAGATAAGAGCAAAAGCTCAGGAGCCAGACAACCCTGGCCAGAATTTCGTTTCTCCCATTTTCCAGCTGTGCATCCCAGGAAAGTTACTTAACCACTCTGAGCTTTCATTTCCTCACCTGTAAAATGGGAATAATGTAACTAAAATGAATCCACATGGGTTTGTTGTGAAGATTTGATGAAATAAATGGTAACACATTTAGAACAATGCCTAGTTCAGAGGAAGCCCTCAACCCATGTGAGTTATTTGTTATAGTAAGTTGAAATGGGCTCACATATCCCAGTAGAAACCACTGAGTTCTGTTTTGTTTTCAACTTGAATCTTTGTAGCACTTCAGTCTCATTGCTTCTTTAATGCGTGCAGAAGGAGGGTGGTTAGTCATCCTTGGAGTACAGGCTTTTCATTAAGAGCTTTTATTAAGTTTTTTTCTGCAGTAAATGATCCAGATTACTTAATTGTTCTGTTTTACATGCTTTAATCATTTATTTGAACTTCTCAACTATCTCCAGATTTATAGTACATGCAGAAATATTGTCTAAGAAATTTGATTTTGAAATTTCTTATTAACTGCATCCATTAGCTCAAATGTTTAAAATCCTTTGTTCATTAGTGCAAATTTATGTTCTTTACTATATTGATCGGTTGGTTTTATTCTGTTATATTGCCATAGTCACCTAATTTTCATATGCATAGTTCACCACAAGCCAAATCAGAAGAGATCATAGATCATTCATTTATTCATCAAATATTTATCGAGGGTCTACTATGTGTCAGGCACTGTGCGATGTTTCAGATTTACAAATAAGATACTCCCTACTTGGAGCTTACAGCTTGGGAGGGAAGACACAAGTAAATAGACCATTGCAAAAGTCTGCCATTAGATGCGGTACTTGAAGTGAGAAGGTGTCAGGATAACCCTGGGAGAGAAGGGAGAGAGAATTCAGCTCTGCTGGTTGGAACAGGATGGCTACACAGAGAAGGTGACTTTTGAACCATATGAAAGGATAACAGGGATTGAGGGGGAAGAGAGTATTCAGGGAAGAAGACGCAATTTTCATGTTGTACAACCAGGGAAACTTGTGTGCTGCAGGTATGAATGAGGGGCCAGGATCTAGGAAGGATGCAGAGACACAAAGCTTCCTGGGTTAGCTGGGGCCAGGCTGGTAGCAACTAGACCAAGAAGCCCCATCCTGCAGGCATGGGGAACCAGGGGAGGGTATGTTTTACAAATCACTCTGGAAGCAATGAAGAGGGGACACTGGAGGCATTTGAGCCTAGAATCAGGGAGAAGTAGGTTGCTGGGATCATGGAGAGAGATGATAAAGTCTGTGCTAAGGAAAGGGTGATGGAAAGAAAGGAGTTGATTTAAAGTATATTTAAAAGATAGCGTTTAAAGACTCAGGAGAGAGGGCTGCCAGATTTGGGAAAGAGGAGGAAAGAGAGGGAGAAATTCAGAAGGAATTCCAGGTTTCCTGCGTGGACCACAGTGAGGGTATGACACCAGATAGAGCCATAATAGAGCAAATACAAGTTGGCACAAATCCTTCTCCTAGAAATGCTCCTCAAAGATATATGTCCTGTTGAAAGTCAGTAGGTAATGTCAGCATCACATGCAAAGAGCAATATATGTATTCCTTACTATTTATTCTTTTAAAAATACCCCTTAATATCGGCCTGGACAGTTTGGCTCAGCAGTTAGAGCGTCATCTGGCCAACCAAAGGGTCATGGGTTCTATTCCCAGTCAAGGGCACATACCTGGGTTACAGGTTTGATCCCAGACCCTAGTTGGGGTCATGCCAGGGTCGTGTGGGAGGCAGCCAATTGATGTGTCTCTCTCACATCAATGTTTTTTTCTTTCTCTCTTCCTCCTTCCCTTCCACTACATCTAGAAATCAATAGAAAAATATCCTTGGGTAAGGATTAACAATTTAAAAAATTTTTTAAATACCCCCTTAATATATGTGACATATATGAGCTAAGATAATATTTATGTAGGGATCTTCATTTTTAATTGTCTGGAAATTAATTTTCCAAATATGGTGTTAGCATTATTTCAGTTATCTATGCCTGACATAGTATATATCTACTTGTTTGTTTACTTATTTATTATCTGTCTCCCCCAGCTGAAAACAAGCTCCATGAGGTCAAAAAGAGGACTTTGCCTCTTTTTTTCACATCTTCAGCCCTAGCACCTAAAATGATGTTTGATTCATGATAAGTACTCAATATAAATATTTGTTGAGAAAAATGAGTGACTTTCCATGTGGGTAAAAAGAAACACTCCTGTCCTTTACTAACGAGGAAAGGAAAGAAAGAGAAAAAAACACTTGGACTTAAAACAGTTTTTCATGAACAGATCCAATTTGCAAAAATGGAAGTAAAGTTTAAAAGCTATTTTTCTTCCTGAAGCTGTACTTCTGGGAAAATCAGAGCTGCCAGCTTAGATGGTTGTTTTCACTGCCCAGTTACAAATTCTTTGCAGTTGTACATATTGTCAAAGCTCAACTTCCTTAAATGCTGTTGGATCAGTCAGGAAGTGGTGATTTTCCTTATTGATTCAATGCCAGTTCCTCTTTTGTGAAAAATCCCATGTGCTGCTAATGGAACATGGACAGTAAAAACTGAACATCGGGGCCAAAATTAAGTAAGTCACTCATGTTCCTCTTTAGTCAGGAGATGCTAAACCATTTCTACTTTCAGTCTGGAACGTTCAGTCATTTCCCCTTTAAATTTAGCAGAGTGATTATTCCCCCTGGTGGGTTGCACATATGCTCCTTTTGATCTGTGAAATAGCTCTTTCCTCCATGAACTTTAAGCTGCAAAGTAACACAAATACAATACTGTTTATGAATTGTAGGAGAGATGTTTCACAATCTCATTACTCTAAAATGGTTGTGCCAAACCAGTCTCTCCAAGGTTCCCTTTTTTTCCAGGAAGAGAGAAAAAGAACTTCAGGCCACAGCACTATGATAATAGTAATAATCATATTTCCCATGGATTTTACTCTATGGTCTCATATAGGCTACAGTGTAAGAAACATCATCAGCAAATATTTCCCATGAGCAGGACACTGTGCTAGGTGCACAGACTACCAGGAGGGATGAGGCATGGTTCCTATCCTCTGGGGCTTACAAATTAGCTGGAGAAGTAAGACACAAACCACAAAGTTAAATTAATAATTACAAATGAACGACAGGGTCAGTGAGTGCCACACAGCATTTAGAGGAGGACGGGGTGACCAGCCAAAATTCCTTGAGGAGATGGACTTGAATTTGAGTTGGCCCTTAAGTGGGGTCTGGAGTGATAAAAGGCAGAGTGGTGGGAACATTTATGGATGCTATTGCTAGGAGTCCCACCTGGCTGAGATGGAGTCTGTGGCAGGTAAGGAAGGGGATAGATTGGGGATGGCCTTGAATACCACTCTAAGGACCTTGGGCTTGATTCTGTGAGTCAACTGGAATCATCAAGAATTTTTGAGCAGAAAGGATGTGAACTAAACAATGCTTCACAGAGACAAAACCAAGCAGGCATATGTGCTATGAATGTAACTGGAGAGTTTCAGAATCAAGATAATGAGACCCTGACCCAGGCTGAGGACAGTAGGATATCTTCATCCTATGGTACATTTCTGTGACTACTTCTTAGGGAGTCCTATAAAATTGTACTCAGTGTGCCTAGCTATCTCCACGCTCTTAAGACAGTGATATTCTGGTATTATTGTGTGCCCCACGGTTTGTACAGGCCCAGGTGTGGTCTATGTGCAGACTTCAGAATCTAGGCAGCTCACAGTATAAAAGCTGAGAGGAATCCTAGAGCCTGCAAAGTCTATCTCCTCAGCTTACTATGCAGAAGGCGGCCCTTGCCCAGTTCATACAGGTCATCAATGACAGGTCCAGGGCATGACCAGACTGCCTTATGGCACTCCAGCAATGCATCCAAAACTGGTCCAAATTCTGCTTTGAGATGTGTGTGTGTGTACAAATTCTGGCAGAATCCACCCTGGTTGGTTTGCTCAGCGGTTAGAGCGTCAGCCCTCCGATCAAAGAGTTGCAGGTTCGATTCCGGTCAAGGGCACGTACCTCAGTTGTGGTTCAATTCCTGGCCCTGGTTGGGGTTGTGTGGAAGGCGGCCAATTGATGTGTCTCTCTCGCATTGATGTTTCTCTCTTTCTCCCTCCCACTCTATCTGAAGATTAGTGGAAAATATCCTCAGGTGAGGATTTAAAAACAAAAATTCTGGCAGAATCCAGAAGAATTTTTGGCCCCCTAACTGAGATAGTTGAAGTTCCTTTCCTTTACTACCCTCAGACCCCCACCTTGATCCAGTCCCTGCCTGAGCCCCCTCCTCATTTCTGCCAATTCCCTGCCTCCAAGCTTTCCTGCAACACTTTCTGGCTTCTAGTTC